TTGGTTGGATGGTTATGGTACTTTATAGATACTACTCTATAATGAGAATTTGCAAATGTAAATAAATGAGCATGTAGGGAGTACTAGGAAATAAACTGTAGTGATGTTTGCTGAAAATAAGTAACCAAGGCACGAGCAATAACCGTGGGAGCATCTCCAAGTACTGGACCAGTTTGTGGAGCGTGGTGGATGTGCAGAGTGATGAGTATAACCTGACCTAATGTGTCCGTGACATTAATTGTCCCATTAGAACTATTAACCTCATCCTTCATATGAGGAAAAACAGGAAACACTGAGGTGACATCCTGTGACTACATACTTACATACATACATGGATTCACAGTACCTGAACAATGATTTAAAACCTCAATTAAAAAAGAATATTGTTATACATACAACTACATAACTAAATAACTGAATTGTCTTTTTTTACATTCATTCACATCTTGATAAATATTCACTATTAGAGTATCATGGTTTTTTGTTCATTGTTGCATAAATCTGCATTTGACATTCAATTTCCATATTCAGCAATAGAATGCAAATACTCTTCACGCTGCATTTATTTGCATTCTCTTTACATTTGGGTAACATTGTCCTGTGTAAAGATTAGCAAACTTAAATTCCAAATTCATAACTGGCAGGCATGCCTGTTGTTGCAGATTGCAGGATGAAAGTGGTGGACTTTTCAACAGTAATTGGCTTTCAAGTGGATGGTAGGATGCACAGCATAATGCAGTGAATATTAATAAGGAGGGGTAATGTTGGAGGCACTGCTAAGCACTGCACTCTGTTTTTTGGGGGTCTTTGAATTTGACTCTTAGCTATAAACTGAAAAATAGGCCATAAACACCACTGGCTTCTAGACTAGTGACTAGTATGTCTTTTCATGACTGACACAATGTCACAGTAGTCCATATGTGTTTGAAAAAGCAACTTAACATTGTAAGATGCAATAAAATATATAGGTTATTCGACCCCAAAGTGACCTACACGAGAGTTCCATGTTTAGCATACGTAGCTCAGCTTTCGCTTTTGCACATCCAACAATGTGTTATCTGACTATTAATCCACAGAAGCTTTATCAGGGATAAACATTAAAATGTTAAGCACTACCAGAAATGATTGAATGTGATAAAAAGCTACTACATGGAACGCTAACTGAAACCAGAATTTCTGATAACTGACAGAGACAGTATTTTTTTTGCTTCAGTTTAACTCTGACTTTACTCTGAATCTTAATAAGATTGATTGATTAATACTGCTGGTCTGCTGTGCTACATGTCTGCTGTCCCCAAAGATGTGTTGCAAAAGCTGTGGCAAAATACTGTAAAGCAAAGTTTTAGCTGAGTGAAAACAGCATAGCAGAACTGTTGCCACTCTCATCATGTGGATCTAAATTATGTTGGATATTAAGTTATGTGCTATAATTACTACAGTTCAGCAAAAAAAATCCTATGACAAGCAAACCACCCTGATATGATGTACAGCTGAAAGTGGCAATTACGGTAAGTCATTCTTTGTGATGCCCAAGTTATGCAGATTTGGCAAGCACCTCCGAGGACAGATTACCCTGTTAGGGACTGAACCCTGCACTAAAGCAGTCGACATTTAAAAGCACATACATCATGAAGTATATGAAGGAGCAGCAGAGATGCAACACTGCACTGAACAGAGCAGTATCAGTATGAGGGAGTGAAAACACAACCTGAACTACAGATTAGACTGAAAGTGTGATCCTTTATAATCATGCCAGCCTATGAGCGCTTTGTTTAACCATGTACAACATTCATCAGTTCAACAAAGTCAATGATTGGAACTGTTTGGGTTTAAATGCAAAGAACTTTAATGTAAACCGGAAGTCTACAGTAGTTTAGATGTGTGTAGCCCATATAAGAAATAAAAAATAACAACTACTTTGTTTGCAATGGTAGTGCAGCAAATAATGTTCTTGACCCTTTTCCATTTGTATTCTATGTATCACAGAAATTTCTTTTATCGCTAAAATAAATTAAATGCTGTTTTGTCCTCAAGGTTTTGAATAACTCATTCAATAAGGGTCAAAATGACAAAGCTCTAACATTTGCATGAGTGTGGATATGTGCACAGAAACACAGCCTGGTATATTTGTATACTAGACTGTAAAACAACTTGTGCATTTGGCAACTACAGAGTAATCACTGCAGGCATCAAGTTAAGCTTTGTTCTATTAAGCTACAAAACCTGTAGGAGAAAAATAAATAAAACAAACGCTCCACGTAGCCTTTAGCAATATGTTGATATGAAAGGCTGTGGTACACAGAACAGGCAACATTTGTCTTTTTCTGTGACTGTCAGACAGACGTAGCGGGGTAGCAGATGTGCACACACACTCACCTTTGTTCCATCTTCACAGATGAAACAAGCAAACAGCAGAAATCTGCCAGACAACAGAGAAAAAGATGGCCTTCAAAATACAATCAACCAACGGCTGCTAATCAATGTGTGTGGCAGTTGCTGCAAATGACCTTGCATAAATGCTGTCTGAGATAAGGGCCTATTCATATGTAATCTACTGCTCAATATCTGCAGTGTGCTTGTGGAGAACAAAACCGAGAGGGGAAGAAAAAGTCCAAGACCCTGGACACACGCATTGCAATGTACTATGAAGAAATCTGGCAGTAATTATATACTAAAACTGTGAGACTAATGTGTTTCTTCCTCAATGCAAGTGTACCAATTTCTTATTGAAAAAGAAATAAAAGCAGATATTTTATTCAATGTAACAGAACATTAGAAGGTCAGTGACAGTTTTAAAGCCAAAGATTGTTGTAAAACCAGTAGACAAATAATATGGATGGTTTCTTCTCTGCTACTCACTGAAATATGTTATATTGCTTAGGCTGAATATACGTTAATGCTTAAACCACAGCTGACCAGATGTTTGTATTGTGTATGTTTTGTGAGCAAACTTGTTTTGTATGTACTACATTAAAGGCTGGAATGTGTCTCCTATATCTTGCTTTGTGAAAATTTAAAAAAAATAACTGCATCTTGCAGTTTAGACCTATTTAAAACTGGAAAAGTTTCTATGATCTACTTCTTAGAGCTCTCAGGTGTTTGCCTTAACACTCCTGTCAATTTACTTCACACTCTACAACCTAAACAGCCTACTTGATAAAAGAGTGATGTTGCAGTAACTTTCTCATATTGACTGCATACCTATTATAGGATTATTTATGATACGGATGCATCTCAAAATTGAGTGGAACCTCAGTGGCAAGCCAATACAACTTTGCCAAGCTTTTGTATGATAGTAATGAATAAGCATGATAAAGTGTTTTACCATTTAGAGAGATGTGTTTGTATTATGAATGAAGGTATAATTTGTGTTCACTTCCTTCATGTTCCTTTGATCTCATCAATCAAACAGATAAAATGTCTGTCTATGATATAGGAGCTAGGACATATAGTAATCACACACGCAGAAGACAAGATGGATACATCTTTGAATTGTGTTACTGGCTTATACTATAACTGGTATGTCAGTGTTAGGATATCTTAGTGATATACATATATAGGAGGTAATGTTCAACTGAAATCAGAAAAGTGGTCAAAAGGTCAAAGTCAGCAGATACTGAAACGTTTTTATAATCAAATCTCGATGTAGTTGGTCCTCAAATACGCCATTATACTAGATAACTGCAACAATTGCACACTGGGGGCCAATTTAGATGTTAAACATATCATCGCAAATAAAACAAGAATATCTAATAAAGAAAATACAGGCCTGGAGCAGAAACATTTTTATCCCAATTATCAGCATGAAAATCATAGTACATTTATCAGGATGTTCTGCTTATAAAAGTGTCCAGGATCAAACACAAGCTTAGTGATGTAAACACACCATTGCTAAACAAACAAATAGCCCCATTACCATTTTCAGACACCATAGTAACACAAACTAAAACTGAAATGCATTACAACATGGCAGATGAACCCGCTGGGGGCCTTAGCGTTGTACCGTTGTGCATTAATTGATGCAAAGTTATTGTTAATTGTATAATATCTGAATTTCTCTGGCATCTGAATGTGTTGAGGCAATATGTTGAGAGTAGGCCTTAATTATAAATCACAAAGGAAACCAAAAACCAATGAGTAGGACAAAGCTGAAAAATTCCTAGGCCATTAGTGCCAAATAATTTGTCTGGACACAGAATAGTTTAACTTAACACAAAGCATCACTGCATTAGAAAACTTCATGACCAGACAGTGCAATTTATCAGACATATCTGCTTATTGTCTGACTGCCACACACTAAATAAAACAAAATGACCGTGGGGCTTTTGGGGCTGGGATTCTGGGGCAAGTGCCTGCTTTAATCCAACCTTGCTCATAATACCATACATCTTTAGTAAGCATAGCCTCTGTGTCTGTTAGTCTGTCTGAAAACAATGCAGGCCAACATGTAGATCAAGAATGAGCTTACTTAAACACTGAATGTGACTACTACTAGCTCAAAGGTGTTTCCCTGTAGATGTCATGGTATCAAAATATCCCCCTAGGTCTAGTATAGTTTGTACGCTACAGGATACATGGAAGATTACAGTGGATTACAGTGGAATCGACTGTGCTACAGGTACACAACTCAATTTACAAGAGTTCATCCAGCCTGAAAACTGGTGCAAGTGTGCCACCCAGTGGACGCCAGTATTATGTGCAATGGTATAACCTCTTAGTCCTGCAACTCAACCTTCATTTATCAAATTACTGCTGCGCAACACTGCAGTATAAAACAACCAAAACCCTATCTGCCAGAATAAAAAGTAACACGTTTTAGCTGCAGTTTTATTCATTCTCGTAATGATTGTTAATTTTATCTTAATGCGGAGCTCCAGTTTATCCGCTCCAAAAACAAAGCAGGTGAGTTTAATCAGCCCCTAATTAACGCACGCTACATAAACAGCTGGCCACGAGTCAGAAAACTGGGATCATTATTCCTAAACTACTTTCTACAGCATTTGACGTAATAATATTGTCAAAAGTTCACACATTTGACACAATTTCAAAAATGACTAATGATATATCTAAAAAGAAGGGGAAGAATTCAACTGAGAAAAAGGCGAAAAGAAAGGCTAAAAGAAGAGAGACTTACGCGATGTACATCTATAAAGTTTTGAAACAGGTGGGTTAAAAGGAAGGGGGGGGGTGCAACGAGCTTTAACTGCTTCGGTTTTCCTGCCTTAACTCAAAAACCCTTTCTTTCTGCCTCCAAAAGGTTCATCCGGACACGGGGATTTCAAGCAGAGCCATGAGCATCATGAACTCCTTCGTAAACGATCTGTTTGAGAGGATCGCCACAGAAGCGTCCCGGCTGGCTCAGTACAATAAACGCTCCACCATCACCAGCAGAGAGGTGCAAACTGCAGTGAGGCTGCTGCTGCCCGGGGAGCTGGCTAAACACGCCGTGTCTGAGGGCACCAAAGCGGTCACAAAGTACACCAGCTCCAAATGAAGACTTCCACACACATGTTGTTATGAGAAGGGGTTTCAATCGTGTGCATCAGTGGCACTGTAAGCTGGTTGATTTCTATAAATGCATAAAAAGCAGAGTTTTTCTCCTCGTTTTCCTTTTTTATTTTTATTTTTTTCATTTCGAGAAAGAAAAGCAGCAACGTGTCCTTATTAACCACTAGATGGAGTAATTGCACATCTGTCATATTACAGGCATATTCAGTATTGAGGCAGTGTCTTTGATAAACAGACCTATAAACGAGATATGACACGCATACAGGGGAACTCTATCAGCTTTAGCTTATGTAGTTTCAGTTTAAAAACATAAGTGGGTTTTTTTTTCATAAGCTTTTTTTTTTTTTTATGTTTTACATTAGATCCCTAGTTGTAGATAAACTACAACTATTAGGTGAAATCAACAATGTTGCCATAACCCAAATGCATGAGCTCAGTATGACGCTGCAATAATAATACGTGTATTTATTTGCACAGATTATGCTTTTTCACCGCCTGAAAACTTCCTCTTATTTTTTGTAAAAACCCATTAAAAAGAGTGTGTGTGTGAGATAAATCCCCAAATTAAATCTTCACAATTTTTTTGATTTAACTGCACTGGTTGTAACATATAACAACCCCATACTGCCAGCATAACAATAGACAGTACTCTATAGTCAGTAACACATTGTATAGTCTATACTGATCACAATATGTCAGAGAATAAAGTGTAAGACGTGTGTGTGTGTGTGTGTGTGTGTGTGTGTGTGTGTGTGTGTGTGTGTGTGTGTGTGTGTGTGTGTGTGTGTGTGTAAAAGCACATGTGTACATTGCCATACACTCTTTAATCCAAAAATAAATGCACACACACATAAACAGGGTTGCACTGAGAGCACACCATTAACGGGTGGCTGTGAGGTTGAAAGGGTAACTGCTGACAATAAACTAACAAATGGTTAGTACATCTACTCAAGTATAAACTCAAAGTACTTGAATTTTTTCTTGAGAATGTATATGTCATGCAACTTGTACTTCTACTCTACTACATCAAATATCGTAGGCTACTCCACTTTTCAGACCACACACAGACCATACCTGTCCTGCTCAGTGAAAACCATGTATGCCAAATTTTGTCATTTTGTCATTCACTAGCATTTTGACTAACAAAGCTAAAAACTGTATTAAAGTAGCTCAACCTAAAACAAAGCAGTCAAATGCTGCATACACATTAATTCAGCAGTAATATTAATCCACTGACACAACAGTAACACACTGACCGGGGCCATTTTCAGATAATACTTGCACACTTTTACTTTAGTAAGGTTTTGAATGAAGGGCTTCAGTATTTTCATTTAAAGTTGTATTAAATACTTTTAATTAAGTAACAGCTTAGCTAAAGGGTCCGAACACTTCCACCACTACTGTCAGTCCACTAACCACTTCCAGATTTTAGTATTTCATCTCCTGAATGTAATTTTTTTAAAATCAAACACCAAATTAACTTAAATATGATGGGAAAGACCTTGCTGAACAAATCCTTGTCATAGCAACGATGATAACATTACCGTCTTCGTGTTAACACGGCAAACCTTGAAGAAAACCCCTAAAAAAAAGTGTAGTGTGACAACACTTACCGATGTTTTGGAGATATCTCTAGATTTATATGCAGCTGTAACAAAAACAAATATCCCGCCAGCGACAGGTTTACATATTAACTTGTTTCTGAAGTTGCAACTGTCCAAACAAAGATGGCGACCGGAAGTGACACGTCTAGTTCGTTTGCTAGGCAACAACAGAAAGTGGAAGGGGGATAGGCTGTATGTTACATTATTATATATGTATAAAAAATATCTATGAATGGTTTTGAAAATGAAAATAATATTAATATAGATAAATGAACTGATGATAAAACGTTTGGCTTTGTGTTCTGCAAGATGAGAAAGGTATCTATCAAAGCAGCCACAACATTAGAAACAGGTCTAAAATCCCATTCATAGAACATTATTGTGCCAGCTGGATAAACAGGTATTTGGAAGGACCTAGAAAATCACTGTTAAACAGGGGTAACGCTAAGTGATGTAAAACAACTTGTGTGTTTTTAAGGTTTGGTTTTTATGTTTGAGAAAACATGCGTAGTTCTGACTCAGTTGTAATCATCCCTTATCTCACGTGTGAAGACAATAAATACATGAGAGGTACAGACGGTTTAATATACTTATTTTTTATATAATATTACAATAAGTATATATATATATTTAATACCACAATGGTCTGTTTTCAAAGTGATCTTTTTCACCTCAGATGCATTCATCTAACCCTGACAAGATCCATTATTCAGTTAGCTTTAAAAATGGACATATTTATAAACTGACAGAGGAAATAATGCAACATTGTATCCTTGTTATGTATTCTAATCAGGTTTTTAAAAGACGACACTGTCAACTGAATAGTACTTGATTACAGGATAATCACACTAGCGTTTGCACCAGTCCAATCTGCATAAAATGGAGGAACTGATAAAGGTCTCTCTAATTAGGATGGTGTTTACATCACGCTTTACATACACCTATTACGCGACCCTTGTCAACACCCTACAAAGCCGGGCTTATGATAATGCACTTGGATGTGACTCCCACCACTGACTGTTATTGTTGAGATACACATTTTAGATGTTTCCCAGTATTCTTGGTAATGATATGAAATCTACAGATGTTATTATGAGGGTGATACAGTCTTTGATGGCAGTGACTTTGTTCATGATTATCATAGCCATTTAGGTTTTGTATCTTGCACCCTTCCCCATATCCCCCTCTCATGCCCATGCCAAGCGGTAGTCATCGCTGTCTCCTTTAGGCAGACTGCTATGAACACATTATGGATGGGTGCATTAGTGAGTGATGCAGAGCACGGGCTGGCTTGCCTTGTTTTCGTGTGAGAGTGCATCATTAGAAAATGTTCCACTTGGCAGGGAAGCGCGTATTAACTGCAACCGCAATGAAATGAGGTTGTGATAGATGGTTAAAGTTATACAGGACTATTAGGTTGAAATATGAACCTCTCAATTGTCATGATGAAACAGAGGGCTATTTGCGGGGTGATCAGTGCATTGAGAGACAATTGGAATCTGCAAAGACCGATACAATACATTATAGGTATTGGGTTCAGAGCTGAAGGAGTACAGAAAAAGTAATCATGCTTCCACAGAATAGTTTGGAGCTACTGTTCAATTGAAGGCTCTATAAATTCATTTAGGTTCTCCACCAACATCTCAAGCATTGTGATGAGACCTGGAGGAGATTTGCAAACAGGGCGCCTTGTCTAAGCCCTGTTGTGGACTCTGATGAGCCGTATATATGGAAGTAAACCAGTGTTGATTGGCTATCAAAAGCACTTTAATGGCATCAAAGACTTAAAGCAGGCTGTGTGTGTCTACCTTAATGTGTCCGTATGGAGTGTCAGAGTCAATATGATATTAAGAAAATTAGAATACACCAACATGTGAATCAGTAGACAAATGCAGCACTGTCGCTAGCCAATTAAACATGCGTATTATCTCCTATTATGTTTCCATGGTGACCTCTATGTTATTCTATCACTGGAATACAAACTTCAGACCCTATTTCTCTTTAACTCCCTAGAATGTGTAAATTGCATATTAATTGCTCTCTTACCAGCACGGAGTTGCCCATATGCCAGACGTGATCTTGTTTCCTCTGATAGGAATAACATTAAGTAAAACATAAATCAATCAAATCAGAAACACCTGATGGATAACTGAGTGCTCTGATGTCATGGTGACGCGCTCTCTAAACTTAGACTTTCTTTGGGTGCACTGACTTTGTCTTAAACTAACAACAGATCCAATTGCAAATCCATTAGCATTTAATATTACTGTAATTACTGTGTACATTTCATTATGTTCTCAGTATATTAAATGACTGCTCAGTGTGGAGGGAGGGCTATAGTTTAATCTCTTTCTGTATTACTGTGTGCCACAGTACTCAAAACAGCATTAAGAGGCACATAATCAGAGGGAACTAATTGCCTATGATTGCATAAATGAAGTGCCTCACTCTCATCAGGACTGTTGCTGATGTCCAGCCTCTTACCGCCTTGGGAGAGGAAGGCGGTTGACCACAATGCAGAAAACCTTGGAGAGACAGCTACTGGTGGGTAATGTGAGGAAACCAAAGATTTAATATGTCCACGGGGGGCTGTGAGGGCAGGGGGTGTTACTACTGCTGATGTTTTTTTTTTGTTGCCATCAGAGTTGCCTCCGCTTCACAGAGAAAAAAAAAAGAAAAAAAGAAACATGAATGCCCACCATTTGAGAAATGAATTTATCGAAGTCGCTGTCTTTTTCCCCATTAGTAAGTGTTTAGTTCAGCGTTTTAAATAATTGCGTTACCAGGAATGATATTTAAAATACATTTGGGAGTCAATGAGGCGGGAAAGTGCCTACATGTTTTGCTGATGACACCCGGGCCATTTGGAAGACATCAAAGTAGAGAGGAGGTAGCCCAGATGCATATTATAAACTCATTATGTATATCATTTAAAAGGATGTACTCCAGCCGCAAAAACAATATTCCTAGTCTCTCTCTGGTAATGTGTGTTTTCAAAGTTGAAACTCTTACTCGCCTTCAGTTTAATGTGGCATCTATTACCAAACTGTAACATAAAATAAATGACCTTGATTTCCATACCAGAACAGTCGTTAAGGTATAGATGAGATGCAGCAATGCTTCTGTGTTTTCAAATGGAAAAGAAGGTAAAACCTCCCCACGAATATCATGTATTTCTCCACCTGTGGTGCAGACCTTGTTTTCCACAGAGCTTACAGGCATCTTGATGGACTCCAACACAGAGGTGGATAAACAGACATTAAAATATGTGCTATTTTAACACGTTGTGTATCCAATACAGTGCATTTTAATAGATGGTGATGTCAGAGCAGGTTAATCAGTCTCCAAAAAGGTAATTCTGAATCATCCTTGCCGCAATATGAAAACCTATCCTAAGAGGTTTGGTGTCAAGAGAGTTAAAAGTTGGGATCAGTTTTGCTACTGGGTAGAATTTCTACCAGCACTGGAAAATGGTAGTCCATCAGTCAAAAGAGATGTTTGTCAAAAGCTTAGCAAGTAGGCTTAAGAGGCTTAA